TTTTTTTTCTTTTTTTTTTTCTTCTGGAGCGGCGGACGGGCGGGCAGGAATTAATTAAAAATCCCATCAGCCGGTGGATTGTGTACTTTAAATCGGGAAACGATTTTCATCGGGCGAATAAATTGAAATCGACTCGAGGAAACAGACTTGTCGGGACTACTTCGCGGGATGGAGAGGAGGAGTTTTGTTCGAGATCAAACGGCGGAATGGATACCTTTACCTTTGGAGGAGTGAGGAAGTAGGTTAACGTATTTAAAATCTCGATACAAAGTGACTGCAGGATAGATGTGGCCTAGAAAGATGGAGGGAGGATGGGGGTAGAGAGAAGGAGGGGAGGGAGGGACGAAAGGCTCGCGAAAGCTCGTTTCAAAAATTTACGATCGTTTCTTGGTGGAGGAGAGATCGGTGAGGGAAGTTTCTTCTCTGGAAAAGAAGAAACTACTACACTCGGAAATACACTCGACTGGCCCGTTGAAAGGAGAAAATAATTATCGAGCGCGGTGGTCGCGAGGCGGGAACTTCGAAAGTAACGATCTCGTTATCGTTTCGCTTGGAGAGCCGAAGGACTTAAGATAATAAGTTTGCTCGGGAGGGTGGAGAACGTAATAAGGAACTAGAATAATCTCTCTCCGGTGAAAAGGAAATAGTATTCTCCACCACTCTCTACTCTGGCTTACTCAACTTATTAATTCCGTTAATAATTCCTTCATCCGATTTGACGCATCTGTACCGCGTACAGATTCTCAAAGAGCCGTGTCCGCTATACTGGAATTAAAGTAGTGGAACGGAACGTTTTATCCTTTCCTCGAATTTCGCACGCAGAAGAATTTCCAACGTAGAGACTAGAAGAATCGTATTCTATAGATTGTTTTAACTCGAGCACGGGAACGAGAATTGTTGACGAACTGAAAACTATTAAAAGTATAATTGTACAGGAGATAAAAATAGGAGAAAGGAAGATAAAAGGGAGACGAAAGAAAGAACGGAAGAAGATCACGCGACATAGCTGTGAAAGATCCGACGCATCAGAAACTATGGTCTGAGGCGAAAGATTTTCGGAACTTCCGGGGAAACTTGGGATAGCGAAGCTTTTCTCAAATGTCATCTACAAGGAAACTTTTCGGTCACTGCACATTGTTCGAAGAAATAAACGGTGCAAGAGATAAGAGTAGAAGGGAGAGAGAGAGAAAGAAGCTCGACGAGATATCCACCAAGCCGGATTACTCCGTCCTTGTCCGACGGATGACGTTCAGGATCAAGCTCCACCCACGCACACATGCTCGCAGCAAGGGCACAACGTAATACCCACACATTCGCGCTCGCTCGTGCAATATCCATGTACTCACGTACGTAAATATAGTTGCGTAAGCTATATATAAACATCGATACACCTACACACGTTCACCAGAGAGGACGCACAATTTCTTCGAGGCGATCGTTCTCGAGGCCCCGTTTCCCTCGAGCAAGTTCATATTCGGATACATATTCGAGAGAGGATTTAATCGAGAAACGTTTGAATGGAACGTTGACCGTACCTTCTCTGGGGTGATGAGCGGCGTGATGTACGTGGTGACCGCCGTCGTGTACACTTTTCGATGACTGCCGGGTGCTGCAGGTCACTCAGTACCGCCGCGAGTACCGAGTGCCGTGCGATCAACGCTATGGCCTTCCTTCCCCGCGAGAGGAGAAAAAGACGAGGGAGAGACCGACGGTGTCTCGTGTCGCACGCTCGCGCTTTCTCAGCACACGCGCGTACGATATATCGGTGATCCCAAACGACGTGAACGTCGCGATCGCTTCGTGACAGCTCTTCTGGTTCCGGCTGATGATCGCGCGATAGACGTCCGAATCCGCGAATCCCTTTTGCCACTGTTAACGGCGAGGCGTGAACGACGAGGAACAGGCACGAACAGCGGGTGAACGGCGAAAACCTCGATCGAACGATCGAACTCACACAGCTCAGGCGATCGAAACAACCGGGGGAAGGGAGGATACGTAAAACGGGATCCTCTTGATCGAAACTTCGTCTCGTCGAACGGGTTACATTCGCGCGCGATACACACTTGTCACGTTACGAATCGTCGTCGTACTACTTAGCGGGCACTTGGAGCGAGCTTCGTGTAACACGCGTGAAACAACGCACGGAAAGCCAATGAACGACACACTGACAGATCGAATGAATCCACAGAAGCTGGGAAAAATTAAAATCTCGCGATCGATCCTTCGCCTTGAGATCGACGATGACAACGGTTGGACCGTGACGCGTCACGTCTTCCGGTTTTGTTCCGCCTTCCTCGGAACGGATCTTGATCGCAGGGAAGATCGGATAGAATCGGTCGAATCCTCGTCTTATCCTCGTCGTCTGCCTGCCCTCTTCTCGCAGCAACGTGCGCACCGATGAAGATGGGAACCGAACGGGTCGGTGAACGGCGGCGAAAAGAGAGGTTGAAAAGAGACCGATATNCGCTCGCTTGACGGCGGGATAGAAACGGTGGAGAGGAGGGAAGAGGAGGGAGGGAGGGAAGGAACGTTCGAGTGGAGCGAACACGTCAGGAGGGAGGAAGAAGGAGGATGACGCCGGATTGTGCTCGCGAGNCGTGTTGCACCGATGCCGAAGCGGAGCGTTTTCGGTGCATGACTACTTGTTACGCGTCCGTGAGCCGAACCCGCCTCACGCGATCAGATCGAATCGAGCGTTTCTTTGCCGGGAATCTCTCTCCCCTCCCCAATGCTCGATGCGTGCATTTCGGTTTAACGAGACGTCGAGCTGGAGGACACGCGAAAAATCCGATTCAACGATAATTTCGCGATTCCCCGCACGCTGNGTGGACGGAAATTGCAAGCCGTAAATCACGACACAGGCGCATTAATTCCCTTTCGGCGCAACTGGGCCACTGACGTAACGTCTCATTGACGCGCGAGCAACAAGAACGATTACGGGCGAGTCGAGTCCCGAAGTGGTATGAGCTCGCGCTTAAGGAGCCCTCCCTCCCTCCGGCCTGACTAATATTGACCACTACCACTTCCGTCCGGAGAGCCGAAAACCGGCCACTTCGCCGGGTCCTCGGTGTGGCTGGCCGAGGGCCAGCCTCCAACTCTCGCGCGTCTACCGCGGCCCGGTGTAAACGTATCCTACGCTTAACGCGGAAGGAAGGGGCTAACCTAACCTAGAAAGATTTCATTGAGTCGCAACGTGACTTGGCCTGTTGCCAATACTATGAACGGCTACGCACACCCGCGCCCTCAGCGCCCCGGCTCGTTTCGTTAAGCACGCGGTGGGATTTCCTGCAGAAAAAAAGAAAAAAAAGAAAAAAAGGAGAAAAAACAGGGTTGTTGGAAGTCGTAGTCGCACAATTCTCGTCGCGCTTCACCGCTTTCTTCTACGTTTCTCGTCGAGAGAGGAAGGGAGAGAGAGAGAATAATTGAGAAAGCGAGAAAAATTTTCACGTCGATGTTTTAATATATTTAAAAAAAAAAAGGAAGAAGAAGTTTGCTTTTCTAATTTTTTGCTAACTTGTTCTCTCTCTCTCTCTCTCTCTCTTAATTCCGCAATTTTTATCAACTACATAATCTATCAACGGGAAAATTTATTTCGAGCTATTAAAGCTCAGTTTGCAGGAAGTCTGTGAGAAGCTGATAACTTGTTGCAGAGAGCCAGAGGCGGTAAGTATTAAACCGTTTAAAAAACTTGCGAGCCTCGCTCGTTTCGCCTTTCGCTTTCACTATCGCTCGACGACAGCCAATCCTTGTTGTTTCCTCTCTCTCTCTCTCTCTCTCTCTCTCTCTTCCTTTTTTTTTTTAATCTCATCATCGCCCTTTATATAACAAAGTCCTTCACGGAGGAGAAGTACTCTCAAGAGGAATAACACGACCAATAACTCCTACAGGATTTAACTGTCGCATTTATTCCCTCCAATGCCGCGCACAATTGGTCGCGAAATATTGCGGAATAGGGCCGTGACCCGACCTTATTAGGGTCTGGTGTTGCTTGTTCTATAAACGAGCGACGCCAGAGGTGTTGGGAGCACGGGCAACATCAACTTGCCATTCCGGAATGATAACGGTCGGGAGACGAGGCGAACAGGAGGAACGAGGAGGCGGAAAACGGTGGTGTATTCAGTATTTGGCTTACATCCAGCGCAAGATGCTCAATGAACTTGGCGGGAAAACCACACTGGCGTGTGCTTCCTTCTGCCGTGAGAGTGGTGCAACTACAACCGATATTGAATATCTTCGATGCGACGATCTGTGTAGACGAGATCTCTCGACGATTGCACCACGTGATTTTGATTAAACTATGACTTAATAATTACGTGAGTAATAACATTGCAACGAAGATGAATTATTTAACTCTTTAGAGAATTCTTTTGTTCGGTTTTATTCTTTGAAAGAGCATAATATGTACGTAGGAGTAAGAAGTTGTATGTGTGCGTGTGTGTCAGTTTCGATAATCGTAATATAAGAATCCCAACAATTTTTTTTCATAGATATAAATAGATCCTTGTCCTTGTCTCGATCATCCGTCAGTTAATGTATGAATCATTCTAAATCCATTTAGCTCTAATAGGATATAGATATCTCGATGAATATTCGCTGCTTGCCTGAAGTGAAGTAATATGAATATCGCATACGTATTATTTTCTATCTTCTCGGTGTATGCAATTACATATTGCTCTTTGTTTAATAATTTGACCGCGAGTTAATAATCTTCCTTCTATTCTGAAGAAAGAATACGTTTGTAGAAATTGTAACGGGAGGAATTTTTGTACGCGTGAATTGAACGAATCTAATAATATTTTTCATCATATCCTTTCAGTTTATGAAGTAAATATTTTGCTGGAAATAAAGTTTAATTTATTATGTTTTTATCAATCCTGATATACATATCCGTTTCTTTTTTTTCCTATCTTAAAAATTCTTCTAAACAATAGTTTACTTGAGAAAGCAAGACGAGGGGACATAAATATATATAATTAAATAATAAAACACTATCAAATTAACACTTAAAATTCACAAACGTATCCTTATTGTCTTTTTCGCTAATTATTCGAATGTAACTTCTAATTGGAATTTCTTTTTCTCGAATATTCGCGTGCAACGGTGGAAGAAAAAGCGATAAAATTTCGGCAAAGCGATTTTGAAATTTCGGGTCGGGATGGAAAATTATTATCAAGACCG